TTAGCTGTGTGCAGCATCGTGGTGGCTGTGCCCGCCGCCTGCTTCCTGGTGCCGCTCTGCCTGCTGCTGCTGGTCCAGGCCCTGTCCGTGAGCGCGGCCGAGCGCTCCTGCGAGGGCAAGGTATGCGGGGCCGTGGGGTGGTCACCTGGCCTCTCGGGCACCTCCGCACTTTCTTGCTCCACCGCCCTGGTCACTGATGGCCTGACTTCCCTCGAAGATGCCTCGTTAGCCCTTACAGACCCAGCCTGAGCTCAAATCTCACCCCAGCGGTCACTCTCCCTCCTGCATGCACTGCATCCGGCCTACTGTGTGCTGGGCCGCGTGTGCATTATTTGGGGCGGGAGGCGCACAGGTGAGTAAGGCTATGTCTTGCGCTTGTGTTGAAATCAGGATAACACCTGCCAGACACCTGTGAGCACTGAGGGGCCTGTCCTACAACGTGTAGCGCAGACGCAGAGGGAACTGACAGCTCAGTGTAGGGTAGGAGGCGCCACTTAGTGGTTTTGATGGGCAGAAGACCGGGGAGACTGGCGAGGGGCCAGCTAGCAAAAAGGCAGGGGAGCCTGATGGTGGCCGGAATGAGGATAGGATGGTGAAAAAATTGTCTTTTATTTTATTATGTTTTTATTGACTTCAGAGAGAGAAAGAAGAGGGAGAGAGAGAGAAGCATCAGTGATGAGAGAGAATCATGAATGGGTTGCCCACTGCACGCCCCAGATGGAATCTGCAACCCAGCATGTGCCCTGACCCGGAACTGAACCCCAACCTCCTGGTTTATAGGCCCAGGCTCAACTACTGGGCCACAATGGCCAGGCAAGAAATAGTCAATTGGAGCAGGAGAGGGCATAGAAGTCAAGTGGACCGCTCGAGGTTGGCCAGATTTAAACGGCTCAGAACCTCGGGTGGAGAATTTGGTCTTGGTGCAGTGGACTCCTGGGAGCCATGATAGGATTCTTTTTTTAAACATACAAACACCAACAGCCCTGTAACCAACCCCCATAACCAAGATTTAGAATATTTTTATCACCGCCCCCCCCCCAAAAAATTCCCTCAATGGCCTTTTTCTCTCTACCAACCTGGCAACCTGATCTGTTTTCTTTTCTTTTTTTTCTTTTTTTTTTGAGATTCATATTTTATTTACAAGCAAATGAAGACTGTCCCCTGTAAACTCTAATTTGGGATGAGAAGAGCAACATAGAAAAGTAGTTGCTGGCTCCATAGTGATGTGTGAAAGGAGTTCATCCACCTATTTAAACAATGATTTTGTTCATAAAAAGGGGGGGGGGGAGCCACATGATTTCTTCATGTTGCATATGTGAAAGAATCAAAAAGAA